ATTTATTTATGCATAATAACTAAACAAAATATATTAAGAAAAGTAAGTATTTACAAAAAAAATTTAGCTAAGTTTGCCTTATCATATACCAATTGGTAGATTAACCAACTAGAAAAATACTAATTATAGATGCAGCATATTTTTTTTCCACCAATCCCTCTCCTCAAACTTTACTTTCTACAGGATCAACACTATATTCATAAAAAAAAAAAAAAAAAGAGGCGAAGAATTTGCCCTAAGTTTATGCCCACATCTTATGTGTCTTATGAGATGTGGGCCCTCTATTTGATCTGCAATAAGCTGAAAAAGCATTGTAAGATATGCCTAAAATGAAAAAAAAATTAAGAAATGAAAAAATAAGTAAAAATATTAAAGATTAACATTACAAACCAATTTAGCTGTTGCTGATGCTTTTTCTAGAGCATTGGTAAAAATAGTCAAAAAAGGAAGAAAATACATTTATTGCAAAAACAATCAGCTATTAATACATAAATAACTATCGGTGCAAACAAATTTTGCAATTTGATCAGAAAATAAAATTATTCTTACCTTGATTGTGACAACTAGTTTCCTTTAAAATTATCAGCTAATGACCAACCTAGCAAGTTTTAAATAATTAAAGTTTACTAAGTTAAACTACTTTAATAGTAAACAAAGTAAACATAATTGAGCTAGGTGTAAATATAACATATTTCTATCAAGAACTTAAACTAAAGTTATAAATAAATTAATATAATCTTTTTAACTGAGTATTATTATATATTTAAGGTGGTTGTTATTAATTATTGACAAAATATTATTAGTATTTAATCAAATAAATTTAATCAAGCAAATATTTTAAATTTAAGAACTCATAAATAAAGCAAATTAAAAAATTATAAGGCTTGTCGGCTCAGCAAGTACTGCTATCATGGAACAATAAAATGTAATCATCCATCATAAAAATCATAACTTTGAAACGCATTTAATGCAAGATTTGCAATAAATAAGTAAATACAAAACTAATAAAAGAAAACCTCTATAAACAATCACATTTTGCTTCAAGTGAAGTAACTTGGAAATATTGAAATTTCTTTCATATTTTAATTTTTTTCATATATTTAATATTCTTAAGAAAAAGATTAATAATTTAATGCAGAAATATTAAAATACCTATAGATATATACATATAAATATATATATACATATATATATATATATATATATATATATATATATATATATATATATATATATATATATATATATATATGTATATATATATATATATATATATATATATATATATATACATATATATATATATATATAAATATATATATATATATATATATATATATATATATATATATATATATATATACATATATATATATATATATATATATATATATATATATATATATATATATATATATATATATATATATATATATATATATATATATATATATATATATATATATATATATATATATATATATATATATATATATATATATATATATATATATATAAAGAAAACATTATCTATACAAAAAATCCTAAAAATGTAATGAATATTACTAAAACTTATGTTTTAACAAAATAATTTAAGTTAAACATATTTAATGAAGGAAATCGAAACTCTTAAATGTTTTAATGGGGAGGAGCTATTAGTAAAGCTAAAAAAGAAAAGAGCATAACAACATTTAAACACAATTTTTAAACAATATTTTTCAACACATTTTAAGAATAGGAAGCCATTTTTTTAACAAAATTTATCATAAAAAGCGTAAATTGTTAACAAAAAAGAACAAAGTATCTTTTTAACAAATTTACTCAAAAAGTAGCAGTATAAAAAATATTTAATGAAGTATAAATTTGTTCAATAAAATTTACTTAAAATGATAAATATTAAAAAACTGTATATATTTTTTTAATTTCTTATAAACACATTTTTTCAACAATATTTTTATGACTACACTAACTACAAACAGATTTAATTTATGTGTTACATCATGACAGTAAACCATGTAACTGGCATGGACAACAATCTTACTCCCAACAAAGCCAAGTCACATCATAGCAAAGTACACCACTTGGCTAACAAAGTCAACACTCTTGATGTAAACTAAGCCAAGTCACAACAATTTGAGTCCATGCAAAGAGCATAATAGGCACTTACAAACTATAAAAATTAACATTATATCACAAACATAGAAACATTCATGTATAAAAGACATTTACACACTTACAAAATAAAAACTCATATAATCTTAACACATATAAACACTTAATAAATAACACACAAATATAAATAAATATATAAATTAAGAAAAATATATAAATTAGAAACTTTACAAATACAACCATGTTTTTGTAATATTTGTTTAATGACATACCTCAAATAAATGTTTAACAACTTGCAAAAACAAATGATCAAACGATCTGGTTCTTTATATAAAAGCAAACAGATTTTTTTTAACTTCTTTAAAATAAGGTATTAAACGATCTTGTCCTTTAACATGTAACATAGAGTTGACCGTGTGAGATGCAAAGGTTTTGGAGATAAACTCTAATTTTATCAAGAGTTTGACCTCTTGACCTTAGAAAAGAGCAACGTTTTCTAGAGTCATCATTGTCTTCTAATTAAAAAATTACAGATTAATATACTTTAAATACAATTGACAAAGGAATTGAATTGTGTTATTATTATAATGCATAAATTAAATAAATCACCTGACTTAAAAGTTTCTTTACTAATTCCAAAAATAACATAAGTTTTATTCTTTACTACTGAAGTTATAATAAAATAAAAATTGTCGATCTTGTTACTAATTAAGCTGATGAAGCAATGTTTTCGATCTTATTACTGAATAAGCAGATATATTAGTGATTAGGCGATTATCTAGCGTAATATTTATAAATATCTTATAAATAAATATCTAACATAATAATTTATTAAGCTAAAACTTCACTTATAGCTTTGATTTCGCACAGGCTCGATCACATTCTATTAATTAATGATATATGGTAAGTGTTATATATTATATTAGTGTAAATCTATTATATATTTATTAAGTATATAATCAAGTATGTAAAAAAATAATTTACTTAAAAATAATCAAATTGACCATTCAGTTTAAATTAGAATGCAGTTTTCTGTTAAGTCATTACTGCTAACAGATAGAATGAAATGTTTACTATTTTCAAAAGGTTTTGTCCCAATGAGAATATAAAATTTAAAATGAAAAATTAAAACTTGATTGAATTTTGAAAAATCAAAAGTTTTAAACCCGCAAGATTGTCTAAAAACGTAAGTTTCTTTTCCTTGATTGTTTTTAATATTTCACAAATATTTTGTAAATAAAAAAAGCTATTCTTAGTCTTTTTTTTTATTTTTAACTACTATTTATTTTAAATTAAATTAAAAACGTTTCTGTTGTTTAGAATGTTCGCAATCAAGCATGTTAAATCAACTCAAATAGGAAATAAAGTTATGTTGTCAACTTTTAGTAAATGGCAATATTTTATTGTTTTTATTTAATATCGGTAGATAGACAAATGCATTAACTAAAAAACCAAAGTTTTTTTGTCTGATTTCCTGGACTTCACATGAAAAAAATTCAAACAAAAAATCGTCCACCCTTTTTCTTGTACGCACTGGTACGCTTTTGAGTGAACCCCTCCCCACACCAGCCTACATAATTTATGGATGGCCCCATTGCAGCTTTGAATATCGCTCTCAAAGACTTTATGCCTAGTGCGCATAATCGCGCTTGTTGATAAGGTATTTCGGTATTACGAACGCAAAATATCATGCTGGGCAATTTTATTCATTACATGCGCTGATTTATGATATATGTCTTAAACAATATATGTACATATTTCTGAAAGAGTTCTCACAATTCAAGATCATTTATAAATAGTAATAAACTAATCTGAAAACCTGATATTAATGACATTAATATGCAGTATCATATAAAAATGATAATAATATTAACAACTTTAATACTTATTGTAAATACAATGCTTTTTATTATAAAAAGTTAAAGAATTTTTTTTATTTTTCTTAGTTAAAGTATTTTTACTTACAATAAAGTATTTTTACTTAAAATTTTACAAAAATTTCACATAATCTATAAAATATTATTATACAAATTATAGTTTATGTGTTATGTGGCAAAAAGCATATTAAAAAAAAAAAAAAAAAAAAAGATTTATAATAGAAATAAAATTGTTTGACCCACAATATCAACAAATTAGATAAAAATAATTGGCAATAGGTGAAAACTTTGCAATGTCAGAGCTACCACAAAAATTGAACACTCATGAAATTTCACAGGAAGCTTTTTAGACCAAAATGCAATACTAAAATTATGAACAGCCTTCTACAGTAAAAGTTTAATCTCTTGTGGTATCTACTAAAATTCACTCTGTGTTACTCGTCATTCGATTATTGTGACTGTTCCTTTAATGCGCCAAAATTTTTTATTTGTCTAGTTTTTTTCCTCAAACATAAGTTCCTTGAAATTTTCTTCCTTATTGTTTTCCTGATTTTTATAATTTGCAATCTTTTAAGTTGTCTGTTATTGGTTATCTTGCTTTATAAACTTCATCTTTACCCTTCCAGTAACCTCTAACTCTAATAGTGGTTGCTTGCAGCCTTGTTGGAAGTAGAGATAAAATAAAAATAAATAAATAAAAAGAGAGATATATAGAGAGTAAGTTGTAATAAAAATAACAATTTAGACATTTCCCATTTACACTCTATCCTCAAAAAAAAAGCCAACTTAAAAAAAATTAAATACCAAACAAAAAGTATGTTAAATAACTTTTGAACATTTCAAGTTTAATTATATTTTGCAGTTTATATTTTACATTTGCATTGCTAATTGTTAACTTAATGTAAATTTTTTTATTAACTTTTTTGTTACAGTGTTAAATTGTTGCAATTTTGTATATTTTTTTTTAAGAAAGAAGCTTATCAACTTAATGTTTGTATATTTTTTTTTAAGAAAGAAGCGTATCAACTTAATGTTTGTGGAGAAGGTGGTGAATATGAAACTATGACACTTGATTGTCCTCTATTTTTAAAGAGAATAGTAATGTATGTACTACTGTTTTTATTGATACATTATTTGTATTGAAAACTATATATCATAGTTTGTTTTTTTTTAATTTATGAAAATAAGAGATGAAACTAAGATCATAATCCATTCAGATGATGCTTTTGCTCCAGTTGGTTATCTTTCATTTAAGAAGATGCATCTCGAAGATAAAGGCATGGTCAGTGATTGATTGTTTGTTCTTTTACACGATGTTAAACAGTCATCATTGTTATTATTTGTTTTTATTTTATATATTATATAAATTAATTTCAATATTCCTTTTACTTTAATGAAGTTTAGCATTCTCATGTTATTTTCAAAGTTTTTAAAAAAGCATCTAAAAAAAAGTTTTTTTTTTAGATGCTTTTTACAATCTTAAGTGTTAAAATTTGGGTTTTTTCAAAACCAAGTTTTAGAACATTAAATTTTTATTTTAGAAAAGTTAGAAAATTTAAGTTTTATTTTAGAAAAGTTAGAAAATTTAAGTTTTAGTTTAGAAAAGTTAGCAAGTTTGGATCAAATTTCATATAAGTTTTATAGTTAAACAACATATTATAAAACATTTAATTTGCTATTGTTTTTTTTTTTGTTTTGTTTTTTGTAATGCAGAATGTTTTTTTGTTTTTTAATGTTTTATGCTGTTTTTATCAATTTTATTTATTTTTTTAGTGTAGATACATCGACTGACAAATATGTAGAACATGTGAGGAGTGCTGCTACATTGACTGACAAATATGTAGAACATGTGAGGAGTGCTGCTACATCGACTGACAAATATGTAGAACATGTGAGGAGTGCTGCTACATCGACTGACAAATATGTAGAACATGTGAGGAGTGCTGCTACATTGACTCTTTTTTTTAAATGTTTTTCACCTTCCTAAGGCTGAAAGAGCCACTACAGTCAAGGATGTTGCTTTATTGAGGTTACAACCTTCTTGCAACTCAATAGCTTTGAAACATGAACCTTGAAAACAATGCTGCTGTGCCAAGAAAAAGTTGAGCATGGTACTACCAGGGACGTGGTGGGGATCAAACTCAAAATTTATTGCTTATGAGGCAAGGGCTCTACCAATACACCACTACCACATTAATTTGTGCTCACTTCAAACATCTTTTACGGCTTACTTTTCATGAAAACTTCTTTTAATTACTTTCCCCTCCTTCTTTTCAACAAGTTCCAAGTTATGAAAAGTGAAGATTTATGGTGAAAGTTTCTGCAAAAATGTAACTTATGAAATGTCGTAAATGTAATTTGATCAGCTCTAGCAGCCAAGCTCTTATTTAGGGCTTCTAGAGACTCTAGCCTTAAGTCTCTGTCACATCGTCAAATGGTTACACTGTTTTTTCTTCTGTTTTTCTCATTTTACTGTAATTGTTTCTTCATGCTTAAGAAACTTTGGTTTTGTCCAGATTTTTTTTTCATATCATGTTTTTTTTATCAGTTTTTTATATCAAATTCAATCTTATCATCATGTCTCTTTTTACATTATGATGCTTTTTCTAGTATCAACTTAAATAGTGGCTACCTGTAGCCTTCTTGGACTTAATGGTTACCTAGAGGTAACCACTAAATCCTAGGCCTTCTTGGAAGCGGATTTGCTTTAAATATTATTTTAAATATTTTTTATATTAATATTAAACAAAGTTAACATAACTTTGTAAGTTACTTTTTCGATTTTATTTAAAAAAATAAATAAAGTATTTAAAAAAAGATTTAAAAAGAACACATAAGCAATCTTAGTTGATAAAAATATTTATTTTTAAAAGAGAACAAAGTATATTAAAAAAAAAATACAAACCCACAAGCAGTATTAGCCTATTTTTAAAATGAAAAGATTTGTTAATTAATAAACATTCCTGTTATGAACAAACCCGCAAGCTATTTAATAGCAAATTTGTATATAAAATGTTAGTTTTGCGTAACAAGGACGATAAAGAAGGTGAGGAAGAGTTCATATTAAGTGAAAGAAAACATTATAAAAAAAAGCTTTATTTTCAACGATATTAGAAAAAATATTACTAATGATTTCATAAGCTTTGTTAAGAATTTTTCGAAATATATTTTCCTAGAATTATGATATCTGTAAAATATTTTGTGTAAAATTATTTATTAAAGTTTTCTAAAAAGTTTTTTATTTATTTATTTATTGTTAAATAAACTATACTACTTCAAATATAAATCTGATAAAATTGGAATTTCAAAATGTTTTAAAAAAATAGAAAATTAAAATAGTTTTTAATTTCAAAGTATTAATTTTTTAGGATTCAAATCTCAGTTTGTTTTCAAGATTAAAATCAATTGACTTAATAAGTCAAAAAGACTTCAAAAGCAAGTTTTGTTTAAAAAAGTTGTTTAAAAGCTCACACAAAAACGGTTAGTGTAAAACTTTTAATAAAGTGTAAAAATTGTTATGAAATTAATTTTTGTTAATGTAGTAACTAGTATAATGCATTATAGAATTTATATTATGATGTGATAGAATCTGGCTTTTTTTTTTTATGATTACTAAGAAACTAGATATCATTAGCTATCTGGTGTTATTGGGCCTAAAATAAATAATTACTAGCTTTTTCTAAACAGCTGACATAGCAGAGTCACCACTAAAATCCATTATCTTCCCAGGAAAAAATTTACTAAATTAATGAATTAATATCCAATCAGCAATATTGATGTTAATATTCAATGACTTTTGTGTATCGACCCAAATGTCTACCAGCATGCAAAAAATGTCAAGTTTATTGCTCATTATTATTGATGTTACTTTTAAATAGCATAACTGAGGTGGGAAATAATATGATAGAGTCCCTTTGAGAATGAACATTTTCAAATTATTTAGCATACTAATTTTATGTGTAGTTGCAGCTGTTTTAAAAATATAGAAATAACTAAAGATAAATTTTAACATAAATTTAAAAATGTATTTTTTATAGCAAATCATTTTCTATACAATTTTCTTTAAAAAAAGCTTTTTATTTAATAAATTTTTTGTATATAATTTTTTTATTTAAACTATTTTTAACTCAGCATAATACAAACCATTTTTTTTTTTTTAACTCGTCATTTAAAGAAATCATAACTCAAATGAACATAAAGTTTGACAAATGTACATAAAATTTAACAAATGTACATAAAATTTGACACATGCTATATACCTGATGTTTTGTCTGAAAAAAAAATTTTTTTTAGCAATTAAAAACATGTTCTTTGGTGTGTAAATTTGCTTTTCAATTAATTTTTAAAAGGACTAGTTATGAGTAATTATTTTGATTATACCACCTACTCCCAAGCATTTTTTTCCATGTACCAAAAAAAATGCTACTTCAGTCTCTAATCTTTTTTATAAAAACATTTTAATTAAACCAAAAATACAATAAGAAAAAAAAGCTATTCAGCAAGTGATTATTAGTTTTTGTCTCAAGTTTGAATAACATCATTTCAAATGCATCAGTTCAAATTAGTAGTTGTTGTTAGGATATTTAAATATAAATATATATTTTTTCAATCTAGTATATTCTTAATAAGGCTACAACCACCCACTAATTAAGTTTGGAGTAAACAGAAAACAAAAAGCAATCATGCTTTTAAAAAGCAAGATTATAGTTGACATTAGACTTGAAAAATTCTAAACTGTAAAGTCTGAGAAATATAGAACATTAAAAGACAGATTCAGTAAAAGCATGTGAATTTACTGAATTAAGAGTTATGCAAGATTGTGTTTTGGTTTTTAGAACCAAAACACAATCTTGTATTTGTAAAAAAAGTTAATTAAAAAAAAAAATTGAGAGTAAAAAAGTGATAGAGAGTAGTAATAGTAAAAAATAATAAAAAAGTGGTAGATATAACCCGGTGGGAAATGAGCTAGCAACTAGCTAGCTCTATAGCGATTTTCAAGCAATTTTTTTTTCTTGTTTTATTTTTTGCAAATGTCTTTAACATCTTTAAAAATTCGATTTTTAGTGTTGAGTCTATTATAACCATGAAAATAATTGAACTTTAAACATTGCCATTTTGTAGCAATGTGTCGCTAGCTACATATTGTAGCTTTTTTGCTAGCTACAAAATATCTACAAATCTATAGCTGGTTGATAGCTACAAAATTTTTTAGACAATGATTTTATTACGATATGATGCTAGGTACAATAGCCAGTGGATCTTCAGCTTGTTAAGCTAGCTGTCCTCGTAGCCAAATTGCAATCTTTATCTTTAAAAATATCGATAGCTTTTCGCTAACTTAAAAAAGCTAGCGATCCTCGTGGCCAAATCGCTGTCTTTATCATAACGATTATAGCTAGCTATTTGCTAGCCGGAAACTTATTACAGAGGCTCAAGCTTGGCATTTAGAGCATGTTAACTACTAAAAAGAAATTTAAAAAAAAATAATTTAAATTAATTTTATTCAATAAAACATTAAAAAAATTATTTAAAATAATTTTTTTCAAGAGGTGGTTCTTTTATCAAACACTTAATACAGAGTAAATCAGATAGAATTACAAAGTAAGTGTTGTAATTTGTTCGAGATTTTTATTCTTTTTACTAAACTTCTTGTTAAATTTATATTAGGATTGTATCACAAATAAATAAAGCATTTTCAAAATGAGATGATATTACCAAAGTAGGTGACATATTCCAACATATGAAGGAAATATAGAACCATCAACAGCAAATGTGATATTGTTAAAAGTTTCATAATCTACATTTAAAATAAGTTTTTGGAATTTTTCTTGAAGAAAGGGCATTAGTAGAAAGACCAACACAAATATGGCAACAGTATTCCATCAGGAAGCAACAAAAGATATTTCTATAGTATTCCATTCAAAAGAGTATAATCAATAGTAAAGAAATGATAAGAAAATAACTTTAGCATCAAAACAAGAGATGTTTATTTAGCAATGAATTATATGGTTTCCATGAGAGGCCAGTAGTAAGTGATAATCCAAGAAGATGTAAAGTAGAAGATTCAGTAACTGTATTTCCATTTATCAATATAGGAATATCAACAGTATTGAGATAGTTGTTAGCAGTAAATAACTGAGGTTTGTTTGAATTAAAATATAAAAGCCACTGCATGCCTTAATCTGTCACAGAAAATCTGTCACAGAGTTCTAATTCAAGATTGGCTGCCTGTTTAAAGCCATCAAAAAATGATGACTTTTTATCAACACTGGAGTATATAGTTGTAAATTGAGTATCATCAGTAAATTGATAATATCATCAGTAAATTGAGATAATATCATCAGTAAATTGATAATATCATCAGTAAATTGAGCTGCTTTAATATAAGATGTCAGCAAGGTCATTAATAAAGATTATATATATAACGGTCATCAATATAGAAGGTCATTATATTATGTATATATATATATATATATATATATATATATATATATATATATATATATATATATATATATATGTATGTATGTATATATATATATATGTATGTATATATATCATAGCTGAAGTGTGGACTCATTAGTGTGGAGCAGATTGTCAGATTTAAAATTTTAGCAATCTTCTCTATTGAGCACTTTTGCGCTTAAGCCTATTTGCACTTGCTTACACGCCTCAAAAACTTTGACAAGCACATAAAAAAAATAAAAGCATTTTTTTAAATAGCAACATCTTTTTTGTTCATTAAATACTTTTATGAAAAATTTTATTTAGAATTTAAATAAAAATGTTTTGCCATTTTTATTTTTATTAGAATTTAATCTTATTTAGAATTTAAATAAATGTTTGCTTTTTCAAAGCATTCTTTTTGCCGTTTTTATTTTAATTTAAATTTAAAAAAAGATTTTTTTAAATCACGCGCACTCACCTAAAATGACAATCCAGCAAAATGCTTTTTTAATGCTTGGCATTAAATTACAAACGGAGAAGACTGCTATAGCAATTGCTTTCTAGAGGTATGTTTCCATTTAAAGATCTAACATCTACAACAAATAGATAAAGAATTGCCTTATTTTTGGAAAAATAACTGAAAATTATCTTTTATGAAAAATGAAAATCATCCTGTCTTGATTTTGAAACTGTAAAACTTAATATATGTTTTAACATTACATAATTTGAAGTTTGCATAGGTTAGATATTTGTATCTTATTAAAAACATGCTGCGGCTCATTCTTACCATTAACTTGGTTGTAATGGCTGCCATGAGTTTGGTGCAAACACACATGATTGAGTAATGGCAGCAGCAGCAAGTTAAGTATTAAAATATTATCCGATAATACCTAATATGAAATATTATATCTAAATTTTTGAAATAACTAAAAAAATTGAACTTCAAATTTTATAATAAACTTTTACAAATTAAATGTTGCTAATTGTTATGATAAGACATATCTTATATAACAAAAACTTTATAAACCCTAAGTATATATAAATATATATAAAACTTATAAAAGTACTAGAAAAGGCTTAAATTCCATTTAGATTTACAACTTTTTCATTATTGTCATTATTATTGGCAACTAAATAGAAAAACAAAGGAATCTATATATATATAACACAATAACAGACTAAGAAGCCATCCAACTGATGTGCCCCAAACCAGTTTCATTATAAAGTCAATAATGGAAGATGGTTTTAGACCTCTGAAAATAATGCATTAGGCACATAATTCAGGAAAATGTTTCTATCAAAAAAGTTGACTTCATAAATAATAGACTTCATGAATAAAATGGATTTTCAACTTTTATAATGAATAACTTTTTTAAATATTTCATAATTCCTGAAAATAATATTTTTCTGAAATATGAAATATTTCAAAAAAAAATTTTAAATACTTAAGTTTTCTTCAAAATTGACTTTTATTATCATCAAATGTTTACAACCTAATTAAAAGTTAGTGTGACTTGCAAATAAAGTGAAAACATGGTTTTTGCAATTTGAACTTCACCTTTATTTTGACCACATCGAAGTAAATTTGGTGCAAAGGCTTTTGATGCAAAATAAAACATGCAAAACATTGGTCTATCATTCTTATCAGAAAGTTTTATCATTTGTGGTTTTCCCATCAATCACATCAAATAATCAAGTGGAAATTTTTTTTTTTAAAAAAAAGTCTTTACTTTTAGCATGGCTGCTAATTAGAGTTGAAAGTTGCTGACTAAGAAAAGATGAAATTTATAAAGCAAGATAACGATTAACAGACAACTTGAAAGATTGCAAATTATATGAACCAGGAAAACAAGATGGAGGGAGTGAATTTCAAAAAACTGAAGTTCAAGGCAAAAAACTAGATAAAAAAAAATTTAAAGAGCACTTAGGAGAAGTCACAGTAAATGGATGAGACTTAATTGAATGACAAGTAACCAGAGAAGGAATTTTTGTAGATGGCACAAGAGATGCTAGCTCTTTAGGGCAGGGCCAAT